GTGAGTCATCCCTTTTTCTCTCTTCTTCTTCCTGTCTCCTCCTTGGTTCTATTTCTGACTCTCATCAGTGGGAGGGGAATCAATGTTAGTCAATGTGATTCTTAAAAGATAGAGAGAGGTTCAGGAATGATTGGGCTGTTTATGTTTGAGCCCAAGATGATGAGAGCCAGATTGCTGCTCTTTGCAGCCTGCACTTCTCCAGGTGAAGCAGCAGTGACCACAGCATTAACAGCAACAGCAGCAGCTCCTGTGAGCCCTGCAGAACACCTTGCACACTGCCCAGAACCCTTCCTGCTCTCCCCCTGCCTCATTTCATCCTTATGCAACCATTTCAAGACTGAGATTATGACTGCCATGTTACAGATGAGGAAACTAAATTTTAATCATTTCCAAGTAACGATTTTAAAAGTTAAGTCATCATTATGATAATTCAGTACCTATTATGAATCATTTTTAAAAATTGAATAATAGAAGCCCTATGAAGTAGTTTTTATGCTTAGAAAGATCAAATCAGCCTGCCCCAAATAACACAGCTGATCAATGGCAGGGCTAGGAGTCAGACCAAACCTCCCTGGTTCTTAACTCATCTGTTGCCTTTCACTTGGACTATGTTACTAATCTTCAAGGGAAGCCTCCTATTGAGACCCTGGTTGGTGACAGCTCAGGGCAGGTTTAAATGTAAAGGGAAGTGACACATCGCCTAAGACTCATTCACTCCATCTGGGCAGACCTTGGGAAGCTGACCTGGTCCTAGGGCTTGGAGATACAAAAACAATAACTGAGACTCTACTATGCACCAGGAACTCTCATGAACTTTTTACAGACAGCTTGCCAACTGAGAAAACCTGCTATGAGGTAGGTGTTACTGCTGTTCTATTTTCATAGATGAAGAAATTAAGTTCAGTAAATTGCTGAAGGAAGGGAATACACGGAGGCATGAATACCAGGGACAGTAACATCAGGAAGCTCCTACCTTGGTTACTTAGCAAGTGGTTGAGGGGGATTCAGTCCAAGGAGCATAATTAACAAAGACCATGTTCTTCACCCCCAGAGTGTATGTCCTGTTTACTTCACGGTGATTGAGTCCCTACTTTGTGCCTAGCCCTGCCCATCTTTGGCACAGAAATGGAGCTGACTCCTGGTCCCAGCCCCTTTATTACTGCATCCCAGGATTTCCAGTTCATTGACCATCAACTGGGAAACAGGGCCCTTCTGTCAAAGAGCTGGTGCACAGGGCCAGGTTCCAGGTAGCAACAGGAGACTACATACTCTGGCAGAGTCACAGGGCAGATCGTAAGGAGAGTAAGAAAAGCAGAGACCTGCCGGCAGCAGTGCAGCAGGTCAGAATTCTGCCTCAGCCTCCCCATCAGGAAGAGGGATTTAATACTACCTCTTACCAGACAGGATGTAGGAGCTGAGTCTGGGAGGTCTCATCTGTGAAGTTGGTTCTAAAGAACTCAGAAAGTAGAGATGTGTTGTAGAAAGAGCAGATGAAATACTTCTGCAATGCTTCTTAGGTGCTCACACTCAAAGCTTTCGTGCATACAGGGCAAATATTTTTCTCAATAGTGCTTAGCGCGAATTGTTTACCCATCCGTCAATTCATTCATTTGTCAACTTGATTCATTCATCGACTCACTCATGGGCTGGAGAATATGTACTTGCTAAAACTCTTAGAAGTGCTAGATATGATCAGAATGACTGTTCTGATAAGCTGGTACGTATTCAGAATGAATCCCTGATATGCTGTGTAAGGTGCTCAGGGACCTTGCTCAATGGTTAGGAGATGGTGATGAATGTATTCTTCAAGAAGGGATAGGACATTAAATGCAGGTTTGGCTTTACTGAGTAAGGGTATGCAGATCCAGGCCAGAGCTGAATTGCAGCAGATATGGAGATGCCGAATCTCAAGAGAAATATGACTATTATGTTTGATTTCTCACATTGCACTCATGTGTCATCTTGTTTTATAATTTCACATCTTGAATATTTCTTGAATCTGCTGCTACTCTCCGCATGCTGCCACCACTCCGGTTCAGAGCTTTATTGAGTCTCGCCAGAGCAAAGATTCTTCTAGCCTCCCTTGCTTTCTTCCATCTCCTTCCAAGTTCTCTCTCCCTGCTGTTTCTGGTGTGGTCTTTCTAAACTCACATCTAATTATGTGACTCTCCTGATCCAAAGTCTCTGATCCTGAAAGAAAAAGCCCATGTCCCGCCTCGCACTACTTGAAGCTCTTTCTAGCTTCATTGCCCACCCATTTCCTATTGTCTCTTATTTTCTCTGGAAAAGTCACTGTAAAAGGTCTTTTTTCTGCCAAAATACATTTCCTTCACTTCTCTGCTTACTCTTTGTTGTTGTTAGAGATGTTTTTATTTACTTGAAAGACAGCATTACAGAGGGAAAGAGTGACACACAGAGAGAAAGTGATCTTCCATCTGCTTGTTTACTCTCCAAATAGTGACAATGCCAGAGAGGGGCCAGGCTGAACCCTGGAGCCAGGAACAACTCTGGGTCTCTAATGTGGGTGTAGGGGCCCAAAGACTTCGGTCATCTACTGCTGCTTTTCCCAAGCCGTTGGCAGGGAGCTAGATGGGAAATGGAACAGTTGGGACTTGAGCTGATGCCCATATGGGAAGCTGGAGCCACAATCCATGGCTTTTCATGCTATGCCACAGTACCCAGAAACCTCTTTTTTTGGAAAGATCTTTATTATCTTCTTTGTATTATCAAATAAGCACCCCTTTAGGTGATATTCCTGGGTTAAGAGCAGGTTCCATGTATGGGAATCAATGTACTTTCTACTAGATTCTGGTTCTCCTTCTGGGCATGTTATACAATTGTACTTTCGTACCACTTGGAAATTGGGTGTAGGTATTGGGCTGCCTTTGGCCGGTGAAATGGAAAGTTAAAAATAAGTTTTAAGAGCCAGCATATGACACATACCTTTTCTACTGGTAACTGCTCTGTCAGTCTTTATTTTGGAATCATGAAGACAGAAAGTATAGCTCTGAGGCAACCTTTAATGGCTATGGAGCAATACTGAAAAATAAAACCTGGTTTAACCTTTTGAGATTTGGGGATTGCTTTTTACTGAAGAACCAAGATTATCCTAATTGACACACTGACTCTGCTTTGGCATCTTCCAGTAACAATCCCAAGATACCAAGTTCCTCTTTCCTGAACTTGTGTGACACATCCTCTGTGCACTGTATCTCTGAGGCTGATGGCACACTGCCTCCCAGTGCTGGCTCTCAGTTTGCCACTTCTGCTCTTCGACTGTGGCTTCCTGAGATCCTCAGTGATGCTTGTTCCACTTTACACCAGACAAAGCATGGTCCTTGACCAAGGCAGAATATTATAGTGGTAATAGGAATCAGATTTGATTCAAATCCTAGTTCTGACACTTGCTTACGCTCAGTTTGCTCATCTGTAAAATAAGAGTAACAACATACCCTTCACAGGGTTTTGCTATAATTTCTGGATAATTGGTGCAATGTTTTTACAAGTACTGGCATTCTGTAGCTGCTATCGTTCTCGTTGTTTTGTTTTGCCTCACTGATTAATGCAGAGTGATTATGTGCTTTGAACAGTTTTGTGATCTTGAAAAAGTGAACTTTTTCTGCAGTTTATACACTTTCAGGTGTAAAATGTAAATGTTAGTGACACTAAATCACAGGGATTTGAGAAAATTTAGATGAGATATTTTAAACATATTCTTAAGCATTTGGCATTCCAAATGGATGCAGCAAAGACATCTGGTTGGTCCCCCACATGAGGACACTTGTGAACTGTTGAGTGTGCTCCAGTAACATGTTGCTGACATTCCTCTCTGCTTGCTTGCATAGTCATCTTTCTAGCCAGATTGCAAGATACTTGAGATAAAAAATTGTCTGAGTCATTTTTGGGGAAAAGAATCTTTATTTCTCTGGGACTAGTATTGAGATGTAACAAGTAAGGTGTAGCAGGTAGGATGCTGTCATCCCATACGGGCAGTGGTTCAAGTCCTGGCTGTTCTATTTCTGATCTAGTTCTCTGTTAATGTCCCTGAGAAGGCAGTGGAAGATAGTCCAAGCGCTTGGGTCCCTGTATCTATGTGGGATACCCAAAGCAAGCTCTTGGCTCCTGGCTTTGGGCTTACCCTACCCAAGCTGTTGCAATCAGGAAATAAAACAGTAGATGCAAGATCTCTCTGAAACTCTGCCTTTCAAAAAGAAATCTTTAAAAACATGTTTATTTCTCCTTAAATATGAGTAATATCTGGTCATTGTAGAGAAAATAAAAACATATGGAGAAAATAAAAATTACATTAATCCTAGCATCTCATTCAGATATAATCTTTACTAACAATTTAATGTATTTCTTTCCGTTTACTTCTCTGCACATATAGTTACATTATATCACACAAAAGCTCCTATGTCTTTGCATAGTCTTACATTCATAAACTAACAAACTTTTTAGATTTTAACCTTTCTCCTTTTGTTGAATACGTAAGTTGTTGAAACTTACTCACTCTAAATAAAGCTGTAAGAAACGTTTTTGTTTATAAGTACTTATCTGATTTTCTATTTTTAAGGAAAAAATGTTTAATAAATATTTTGGGGTCAAATATTATGACATTTTAATGCTCTTGCAACTTCCAAACTAATTTCCAGAAGGTTGAGCCAAGTTCCACATTCATAAACAAGTTGCCTATTCATCTATAATGGGAACTGTTATTTAAAAACAAGATTGAAACTTTTTAAATTACAGTAACTATCCATTTATATTTCTTCTGTGACTTGTTCAAGTCTCTTATTGATCTTTTATATTGGTATTTTCATTATGTTCTTATTCCAATGAAGGTTTCAAATTGTTTCATTATAGTCCACAAACACAATGTGAGACACAAAATGGGCATTCTGTAAATATGCCTTGCATTGTTCGTTAATTGTCGTGGGGTTCTTTAGGAACGAGAGCAGACTTTCTAAGAGGATGACTCTTCTTTCCTTTTCCCACCCAAGGATACAGCTGGACAGGAGCGGTACCGGACCATCACCACAGCCTATTACCGTGGAGCCATGGGCTTCATTCTGATGTATGATATCACCAATGAGGAGTCTTTCAATGCTGTCCAAGACTGGTATGAGATTCTTACATTCATTCAGCAAAGTAACTTGTGTTAGTCTCTGCCATGCACTATGAAACCTTGTTGAATCAGATATAGTTCCTGTCCTCAGGAAGACATATGCTGGAGAGACTAGGCAAGGCAGACACACAACACCAGCACTGGTCAGCACCAGACTGATCTTTTGCTTCCTTTTGCCCACAGCTACTGTATCAGGTGTTTTCTGTTACTGTAATGAAATACCCAAGGTCTGATACTTAAAAGAGTCCCATTTATCTCACAGTGTCGGAGGCTGAAAGTCTAAACAGTATGGTGCTGGCTCTATGAGGTTCCCCTGACTGTGTCACATCATGGCGGGAGTACATGCAGGAGGGAGAAATTGTGTGAAAAGACAGGAAGCCAGAGATAATCTGGTCAGGGGCCTGTGTTTGCTCTTGTGTAACAACCTTCTCACAAGAACTAACCTCTATATCAGAACACCTATCCATGACCTCCCACGAGCTCCACCTGTCCAAGGCCCTGCCTCTTCACACCAGCACATTGGACGTCCAAGTCCAACACCTGAACCCTTGTTCATCTGTTGCTTTCAGCTTAGGGACTGGAGGTTCACATTCCACAACACTTGCTCTTGGAGGCCCTCCCTTCTCCCAAGGAACAGTTTCTGTGTCTGTGTGATACTTTGACTTGGAGCCTTGAGCTCACAGTGTCCTCACAGGCTGCCTGCTGCAGTCCCTTGTCCTGACCAGCTGTCCAGGGTGCCATTGGTGTAGCTCTCATTCATGGGGCATGTATTGCCTTTTTCTGCCTTTCGGTTATCCTCTTCTTCGTGCTGTCTCCCTATCCCTTAATGCCTCCTTCTTCCTGGGACCTCTGTTTCACCTCCTTTGCCTTACCTTTTTTCTCCTCTTCTGCTTACTCTCTCCAGTTGTGTGTTTTTTTTTTTCTTCCCTCTCCTCTTTCTCTCTCTCCCATACCTACCAGAGAACAGTTAGCTCTTTGTCTCCATGCTGCTCATTCCCTGATGGCCTTCAGTTGCTTCCCCTTCTCCATCAGCCTCTGTTCATTTTGCCTCAGAAATGCAATGACTTTAACACCTGATGATGATTCCTCTAAGAACAACCTAATCTGGTTGCTAATCTGGGAGCTGAGAGAGGATGCAGAGGGAGGTGGGGAAGATGAGCACGGGGAAATAAGGCGAGTTGTCTCCAATTCCTTGCCTTAAATTGAATGACTGAGTGTCTGTCACTCCCAAACCCTAGCCTAGACCTAGGGGCCCAGATTAGGGGTCCCATCCTAGAACCCTAGTCCCTAGTTGCCATTCAAAGCATGGTCCCCAGAATGGGCTCAAAACAAATGATGATTGAGTGAATTCTGTCCTTTGAGGAAAAAAGCTTCTTACTGTAGACAAGAAGGTTGATCGTGGAATTAACAGCAGGGTCAGTGATAGGCCCAGGTAACAGTTGGATTGCATATCAATGTCAGGATAGGATCAGATTTAAGATCTGTTTCAGAATTAACCACTCACTAGCTCACTTATTTGCTAAACTCCCTGAGCTGTGTCTTGGGTGTTGACATCATCCAAAGATGAATAAATCTATCCCTTATCCTCAGGGAGAGGAAGTTCATTCTGGTGTAATAGGGGCCATGGAGAAGGCAATTAAAAAGGGAAGTAATCATTGTACCTAATTGGGTGGTCGGGCTCATCCCCACAAAAACATATTTCTACCAAGTAAGGATCCTCTTCCCCCACCTCAATTTTTTATATATAATTATAGAATTCTTACTTTTAGAGTGTGGTAAGTTATTATTTTTTTAAATTTTAGAATCATCCTATGCAAAGGAACCTGATACCAGCATCATGACTCAAGACCTTAGTGAAGGATGCTGAACCACAGAGGAGATTGGGTCTGGCCAAGCCTAGGGAAGTTTGAGAAACCTCCCTCTCAGGTCCCTGAGGGGTCCACACTGAGCCTTGAGGATGAGGTAGGAGTAGGGAGGAGCCCAGTTTAGCCTGTGGAAGAGCATTTGAGGAAGGAGTGAGAGGGAAGAAGAAGGGTGATGAAACTGGAGAGACAGGATGCAAGTGGTTTTGAGATAAGGAATCTGAACTTGGTCCCAGAATTTGGAGCCAGAGAAGCTGCTTAAGGAAGGTTACATTATGATCAGATGCACATTTTAGGGAGGATTCTGCTCAGTAAGGACAGGAATGTTCAGACACATGAGAGGAGGACTGTAAGGAGTGAGGCTTGCAGCTGGGTTTTTGGAGTCTTCATCTGTGACAGCCAGCAGGGCTAGGTCTGTCTCCTGTTCTCAGTTGAATTCATTGTCAGTAACTTGCAGTTGCCAGTCTACATCCTCCACCTTTGTTTGTTTTACTCAATATGGGCTGACTGAGTGTCCTAGATGACAAACATTTGTTTCTCATAGTTCTAGAGGCTAACAAATCCAAGATTAAGCAGTTCTGCTGTCTGAAGACAGCTACTTTCTTGTTGAATCCTCCGTATGGGTAAGAGAGAGAGCTCTTTCTCTTTCTCTTCTTAGAAGGACACTAATCCCACTTAGTAGGCGATGCTCTGCTGAATTCTGCTTCCTACAGGAAACACCATCCTAGTGGGGCTAAGGCTTCAACATATGAATTTGGGAGCTTGAGCACATTCAGTCCATGGCAGTGTGATGTATAAGCCAGCTGCTTGTCACTATGACTCAAAAGCTTGAGAGTTGAAGGGAGCTTCTTAGGAAGGAATCTTGATTTCAGCTTATGGCTTGGAGGTTTACATTCTATGACAGGGCAGCCCCATTGGTTGAGGCATCTGGTGAGGCTGGAGGGTAGTGGAGGGAAGAACCAAGAAATAGAGACACAGCGAAACTACTCTCTGTCTACCCTCTATGTGGTCTGCTCTTACAATGCTGTCATGATGCAGTCTGGGGGCTCTGCCTCAGCAACCTAATCCAATCATTTCCCAAAGGTTCAACCCACAGATACTGTGATTGGATTAATCCTCCCCTTAACCCATCAGCAATTAACATCTCGTTTCATGTGTATGTAATGTACCTATGAATTTTGTTCGGATTTTTGACAGTTCTCTTTGTCTCCTTTTAGGGCTACCCAGATAAAGACCTACTCCTGGGACAATGCACAAGTTATTCTTGTTGGGAACAAGTGTGACATGGAGGAAGAGAGGGTTGTTCCTACTGAAAAGGGCCAGCTCCTTGCAGAACAGCTTGGTATGTGCATGACCTGTGTGTGCTTGTGTGTTTGTGTATGTGTACTTGACAGTAGGACAGAGGGGACAAGTGTGTTTGTGACATTAGGGTGTGTTGTGATGGTCAATTATGTATCTACGAGCTCCATGTATATTGTTTTATATTTGTGTGATGTACAAATGGGTTTTATGTTCATGAACTTTGGTAATACATTATTTATAATATGTAAGTATTTCATAATATGAAACATACAGGTATATTTGAAATTTATAAACTTTTTAAAATCAAATTCTTCCACAAAAGATTTGACATTTCTTATAAAAATCATCCTAATACAGCAATAAAGAAAAAATAAGAAAGCTGGAGGTAACAGAAAGCAAGGATGGAAGGAAGATAAGAGGAAGCCAGGGTAAAATGAATGTGTGTGTCATATATTCTTGGGCATTTGCAATAACTGGGCCAGAATATTGCTTTGAGCTTCTTACCTAGCATTGCAAAGAGTGAAACATCATCAGTTACATGGGTTCAGAGTGTCCTTAATGTAAAAAATAAACCCGTTTTTCTAGCAAAGCTTTGCTCTTCCTTGCCAACAGTAGAACAGACTCTTATCTTTCTAGCAACAGCAGTACTGGGTGTGCTGAGATGTTTCTTACAGTTTCAGTGCTGACTGACACTAAACACAATTCACAACAAAAGTAATTGCATGAAGGAATAAACTGTGTGGTTCAAGTGTGCAACTCAGTGGTACTCTGACTTCTCCCAAAGTGAAAGCATTTTGACCTCCATTTTGACCACCTGAGGTCTAGGTGGCTACGCATGTCTCAGTGGCCCTGTAACAGAACCCATATGCACCTTTGCTTAAAATAGTAGTTTCAAAATATTGGAATATAGTACAAAATTGCTTTTAAAAAGAATGTCATGTCTACAGAAAGTTTGAAATGTTTCTCTAGAGGAGTAGATGGATTGCCAACTTTTAGCCCATCTCCCCAAGTATTTCTTGCACTCTAGCTGATGTGAAGATTGAGAAGTAGAGTGTAAAGTCATACTCTCCAAAAGTTCCTGAAGCATAGATATTTGGACATGTAGATGGGCACACAAATGTGACTTGTGTGTTGTATATATTTGTATTGTATGTATTCTGACTGTGTGTGTCCTACACTTCTTTCTCTCCTATTGCCTAAAGTGACCTGGACTAGACATTAAGCTGTTTAATATAGAGGGAGGTTGGGCCATCTTGGGTCTCGTTGTTTATCCTTATCACAGTGGTTCTTGGGCTTCTGAAAGTGTCTCTTCAGTTCAGAGGACAATAAGCAGGTGGTGACACCTGCATGTGGATAACTTCAACCCATACCTTTCCTGTCCTCAATCCTTAGGCAGACTCCCAGCATTCTACCTGCACTGGGATGCAATGTGTTTGGGATGCTCTTCTCTCCTCTTCCTTACCTGCTTCCAGCTGGTGATCCCCCAACTCAGCTTTCAAAGCAGCTCAAGCTCCACTCCTTCCTGGCCCCCTGCAGCTCTTTGCATTATACTCACATTTAATGTACCTATATGTGCAACAGTCACAGTAACCATCACACTTGGGCATACTCAATCAATTGCTGGTTTTCTGAAAGCTCTTGGAAGACAGGAAATGAGTCTTGTACCCACAGTGCTGAGCATATGGTCTGACACTACCAAAAGAAAAAAAAAGTTTTGAGATTAATTTTTAGTATGTCAAGTTTTAGACTATTGTGTTTTATTATGCAGCAAAGAATTGCTAGATACCTTCTATATGCAGTAGATACTGTGCAGTGAAATAGGATATGTTCCCTGGTCTGAAGAGGGTTGAGTCAATGAAAAAGCAGATGCTAACAGCAATATCCCAATAATTGTGGTTATGACAGAGGTGTGTACTGGGTTGCAGGAGCACAGAGGAAGCACCTAATACAGTGGGGGTTTGAAACATGATGCCCTTTTGGAGTGTTGAAGACAAGTAAAGTCAGCCCTGCAAGGAAGAGAAGCAAGAATGTTCCAGGCAGGAGAACAGTACTAACCACTGGGTGGTGTGAGCCTGGAACAGTGTTGCCCAGACAGAAGTATTGTAGGTAGGTAGAGGATTAGCTAGCTAAGCCTTCCTAGATAAGATTTTTAAAGGATGAATTGGTTAAACATTTATTAGGTACTTCAGGTATCAGGCGCTATTCTGAGTGTTTTAAAATATAACTCATTTAGTTTAATCCTCTTAAAACTCACCAAAATGTGTATTTTTTTCTCCATATTTTTGAGATATAAATTTTTACAGATGAAAAATGATAGGTTGCCTAACTTGGTCGACGACACATCCCAAGCACAAGGGTAAAGTCGGGAATGGAATCCAAGCAGTGGTCTGTGCTCCTCAACAGTTAGCCTTGTTAGACAACAAATATGATCATTGAGATCTGATATTTACTGAACAAGGCATTATATGAAATGTTTAGTATTAATTCTGTGTTTTCTCTGTGTAGGTTCTAAAAGCATTTTCAACACTCTGAAAAAAAAAAATTAGATTCAGAGAGGTAAAGTCACTTGCCCATGGCTATGCAGTTAGGATGTGGTATAGTCAGTATGGATCTGTTAAATGTATGTAGGAACAGATATAGAAGTAAGATGAATTCTTAGCATAGGGTGTAGGGAAGCACTTGAAGAAGGCTTTAATGAGTTGGTCGGATGTAGGCAGGAAGGTAACCCATCTCTGCCTACACAACTTCCTGAGCTTTCCTCTGTTGCTTACCAGAACTTAACCTGTACATAGATTTATCTCTTTCCTAGCCCTTGAGAGCAGGGATTATGTCTGATTTGTTTATCATCCCAAGACCCCAGCATGGGGTGATATTTATTCAGACACTTCACTTATTCACTTTAAAATGCTTATTGAGCACATACTCTGTACCAGGTTCTGTGCTGGCCCTTAGGCTATAATTAACAATGAGCAAACAAATTATAATCTTTCTTTATTGTCATGGAACTAATGTAATCTTTATTATCATGGAAAAGGGTATTCTTATACCAATAATTATACAAATAAATATATAATTAATAATCGAGTGAGTGGGTGAGTTGTATGATATCTTAATCAAGAAGTTAAAATCATGGTAAGTTCAGCTTAAGTTAGAACCGGTGTTACTCCACCTTTAGTTTAAAAAGTAGATTTATTGCTTCTGGTCAATGGGAAGTCCACTGAATCCAAGACTCAATTGTGCTTTCTGTTTCTCAGCTTTCCTTACCCCTCAGCCTCTTCCATAAGCAGATGCTACACTAGAAGTAAGCCTTCAGATGGCAGCTTCCAATTCATATTTACTCAGCTCCTGCAAAAAAAGGGCCTCTCTCTTGATTGCCATGTAACAATCTTGGGGGAGATAGTGATGAATCACCCATGAGTCACATGCCCATTCCAGCGGCTGGAGGAGGCAATTATTGGCACTTACAGCTCACAATAACCATAACCACTTAAAATGGTAGTTCCCTAAAGGAAGGAGTGGTAGGCAGACCAATGATAGACTCATCCACCATTATGCTCTAAAGAAAAGAAAGCCCAATGGTAGGCTGGAGAGTCAATGTCTTTTTTTTTTCTTTAAAAATGCATTTATTTTTATTGGAAAGTCAAATTTACAGAGAGAAGGAGACAGAGAGAAAGATCTTCCATCCACTGGTTCACTCCCCAAGTGGCTGCAGTGGAGCTGAGCTGATCTGAAGCCAGGAGCCAGAAATTTCTTCCAGGTCTTCCATGCAGGTACAGAGTCCCAAGGTTTTGGTCCGTCCTCTATTGTCTTTCCAGGCTACAGGCAGGGAGCTGGAAGGGAAGTGGAGCAGCCGAGATATGAACTGGCACACATATAGGATCCTGGTGCATGCAAGGTGAGAACTTTAGACACTAGGCTACTGTGACAGGCCTGAGTCAATGTCTTTTGAGAAAGTAGTATTTAAGCTGAGAACTGAGGGCAGATGTTTGGTGCAGTGGAGTCCTCTCAGTACGCCTGTGTTCTGTGTCTGAGACCCAGTGTCTGAGACCAGCTCTGCTTCTGATCCAAGGACACACAATGGGAGGCAGCAGGTGATAGCTCAAGTGTTTGGATCCCTCACACTCACGTGGAAGATCTAGATTGAGTTTTGGATTCCTGGCTTTGGCATGGAGAGAAAAACCAAGGAATGAAAGAACTCTGTCTCTGCTTCTCTACCAAACAAGTAAAAAATATTTTTAAAAGATTTATTTATTATTGGAAAGGCAAATATACAGAGAGGAAGATCTTCCATCCGATGATTCACTCCCCAAGTGACCGCAATGGCTAGAGCTGAGCCAATCTGAAGCCAGGAGCCTCTTCTGGATTTCCCATGTGGGTGCAGGGTCCCAAAGCTTTGGGCCATCTTGAACTGCTTTCCCAGGCCACAAGCAGGGAGCTGGATGGGAAGTGGGGCTGCCGGGATTAGAACCAGAACCCATATGGGATCCTGGTGAGTTCAAGGCGAGGACCTTAACCACTATGCTATTGCGCTGGGCCCCTAAACATTTTTTTTTTTTTAGTGAAAACTATGAGGCTAGAGTGGTGGCTCAACTGCCTAAACTTCCATCTCCAACCACCAGTACCCCACGTGGGCACCAGCCTGTGTCCCAGCTACTCTGCTTCTAATCTGGCTCCCTGTTTATGACCCGCGAAAGCAGTGGAGGATGGCCCAAAGCCTTGGCCCCCTGCACCCATGTCAGAGAGCTGGAAGAAACCTGTGGCTCCTGGTTGCTGGCTTCTGGCTTAGAATTAACTCTGCTCCATCCATTGCAACCATTTTGGGAGTGAACTAGCAGATGGAAGAAATTTCTCTCTCTGTTTCTCCTTCTCTCTGTAAATGTGCCTTTCTAATAAAAATAAATAAATATTTTAAAAAGAAAAAGCTAAAAGCTAAAGGATGAGAAAAAGTTAGCCAGACAGAAAGTGGATATCGGGCAGGGTAGTGTCTCACATCAAGAGTGGTCCAGGTATGAGTCAGAGTTTGAAGCCTTCACGGAGTGG